TGAAGGCTTCCCTGCTTTCTCTGTGACGTCAGGATACACGGAAAAGGTGGCTGCTTACAGAGCCAGTGAAAGCCTTCGCCAGGAGCCAAGTCAGCCACAACCTGGCCCTTAGGTTTTCTAGACTCCAGAATTCAGAAAATTAATTTCTCTTAGGCTATACAGACTATGACAGCTTTTCTATAAACTTACGTAAACAAAAACTGTGGGGGTGCCACCCCAACAACAGCTATGAATGTTTTAGAAGCGGCCTTAGGACTAGGCAGATGCTGAAAGCATTTAGAGATGATGTTAGAAAAAGCCTGGGTAAGTCTGGACTGACAGCTACAGCAGAGATAGATGCTAATGGAGAGGGCAGTGAGGTCGCTGATGAAATGAACTCCATCTTAGAAACTACTGGAAAGGTGACACACGTCACACAGTGGCAGAGAATCGGACTGCACTGTCTGCTAGTGCTGAGGAAAGAACACGAGAGATAAAGCTGGATTTTAGTTGAGACGGTCAAGCCAGGCACTGAAGGAGTACCTCTGTTTCTCCTGACTGCATAAAGGACAAGAGGAAAGGGGAAAGAAGATGAAGACTGCTTGGTCTATTCATGTAAAAGACACGAGTGTTTAATCTTTTGTTTTGCTTTGAGACAAATCTCATGTACTTGGGATGGCCTCAGACTCTACATAGCTGAGGATGGCCTGAACTGATTCTCCTGCCTCTGCCACCTGTGTGCTAGGATTAGGGGTGTGTACCACCACACCAGGCTTGAAAGCTTGTTCTTTACAGGACACTAAGGGTGTGGGCTAAACAGTTATTAGAAAAAGAGGTCATGGGTATAGTTCCCAGACTTCTCAGCAGAAGTCAGGAAGAGGGACGAGATAGTACATTAGCAGAGACTGCCAGTTTGGGTGCAGTTTTTGTCCAGAGGGGATGGAGAAAGAAGAATGGTACAAAAAGACTACCAGACAGCTCGAAGTCTACAGGCCTGGGCCACAGAGCTCTTCGGCTGTCTGTGTACATTATGTTCAATGAAAAGGAAGAAGGCCATGGGGTGATAGAGAGGTTCAGACTATTGCTGGAGAGAGGGCTCAGAGATTAAGAGGACTTGGCTCTGGTTCCCAGCACTCATATTAACCAGCTCACAACCATCCGTACCTCTCCAGTTCCAGGGAACCCAATGCCTTCTGCTGGCGTCTACAGGCACTCACACACATGGAATGCGCATAAACTCACATAAGCACACGCACATACCACTTATACATATGAAGTCTTTAGAAAAACTTTCAGAAAAAGGTATCAATGTTGTTCTTCTTATGAAGGGTCCAGTGGGTAGGGCTGTTTCCTTCTGGATGTCCGGTGATGATCCTCTTCCCTAGATTTGGAGAGCTAGGGGGACAACGAACAGTGCCTGAGGGTGGGAGAGCCTTCTGTGGGGCCATACGAGTGACAGAGGATCAAATGAGGGCATCTTTTAGAGAAATACGAGTTAAGGGCATTTAAGACTAGCTAAAATTGGACTTTTGTACCCATCTTTCCTCCTTTCTTTCTGCCTCTGATTTCCCGTATTTTAGGATGGAATGTCTATCCTATGCCTGTACACAACTATACTTGGAAAGCGAGTAAGCTGTCTGGTCTTACAAGGTTCACGGACAACGATGTTGCATTAAGATGAATTTCACCTTAAGTCTCATCCATATCTCATTTAGATAACATGCAGATGAGACTTTAAATGAGGACTTTAGAGTTGATTCTTGGGAGTCAGACCTTTAAGGGGACTGGGATGCATCTGCCTGCGACAAAGATGAGTTGAAGTGAGGGTAGGAGGATGGACTCCTAGGAACTAAGTTGTGTCGTCTTCACATTTACAGGCTGAAGCTTTAAAGCACAATGAGACCATATTTGATTAAGTTATACAGTTATAACTTAACGTTATACAGTTGGGACCTGGCTACAATAGTGTCCTTCTAAGAAAAGGCCAGAATGTCTGTTCTCTCTTAGTGACTCTCATCATGGCGGGAGGACTCAGAAGGGACAGCCCTTATCGGAAAATAACCAAGTTAGAACTCTAACTTTGGACTGTTCAGCTTCCAGAAACATGAGAAAATCAATTTCTATTGTTGGGCTAGGGATTTAGCTTGGTAGTAGGGTGCTTGCCTAGCACACACAAGACCCTAAGTGCAATTCCCAACAACACATGCACATACACACAAATCCTATCATTTAAGACACACAATCTATGATACTTTGTTATGGCAGCCTGAAAAAGCCGACACAAAGTAGATATTTTAATAGTTTACCACTACAATGAATATGTAGGTATGGCCCTTTACCTTTCAAATTGTCTTCCTTTTGCAATATTTTAAGAGACAAGTCCTATCTATTAGGCTATTCTAAATTCCACCAACATGGTAAAGGGATATGTTAAGGAGACAAACACTAAAAAGAATTGTTTGGGCCAACCGTTGTTTTCTTTAGCTCATTTCTACAAATGCAGGGTTCTCAGATTTCTTAGAATTTATTCCTTTAGGGTTGTATAATCAATTAGATACTTCTGGAAATGCCCAGAAAGCCTTCAAAGAGACATTTATATTCAGCATTTAGTATAAAGCACCCTGTTCCAAACCTGCCAACAACTCCCAGTATATAATCACTCGCCACCTGTTCTTTTGAGATTGCTTTTGTATTATTACAAGCAAAGAAATCAATACTACACCATTGATTTAGGAAAGAGACAAGATTGCGTGGCAATAATACATAAAGTTAGTCAAGCCCCACTTCTCAATTGTTTTGAAAGAACAGATTCTTTTATGCTCCTTTCTGAAATAGGTACTCATTCTGCATTGGTGATCTGTAGCAATAAAGACCCAAGATAGATAAGGTACTATAACCCCAATTGATGTAATAGCTCTTAAGAGCTACACAGAATCTCAAAATGCCTTTTTATCCTCAATAGTAATATATTAACTTGAGTCCATATCTTCTCTCTGCAGTTTGTCCCTTGGCTTAATTTTAAAAGTGTGGGCTGCAGCAGAGGGTCAAGACAGTCAGCAGTGGAGGTGTTGCAATTGCAGAGAAGCCACCAGCTAAAGAGCTGATCCAACATATAGGTCTTGATAGGCAGGTAAGGCAATTGTTTATCTTATCCATTAATTTACTAAGACACCATCTGGTCCTTCTAAGCCAAATTAACGTGTAAAAGTCATTTAGATATGTTAATTGGTTTTGAACCAGTGGATGGAATCAGTAAAAGGAGGCTATGGGAATGGAGAACATTATACTGAGCTTGGTGCTTTCAAACACTTTCACCTGGATTGTCTCACTTAGTTGTCACCTTAGTCCCAGAAGGTACGTGGTGTATCATCTTAAACATCTGAGACGAGAGGAAAAAGCATCTTTGAGACCCAAAGATTTTTAACTCTCTTCAAGTAGGGAAGCCGTCAAAGACAGTTCACTTAGCCACACGATAGCCCCAGAGATAGGTGTTATTGCTGACGAAACTACAAAATGGTGAAGTCAGGAACAGAAGGCAAATCGTTAGAGATGTTAGTCCACACCACACTTGTTACACTCATGATATTTGTGTCTGACTATTACAGTGAGTATAACCAGACAGGAATCCTTCATGTCAAGTGGTCTGTGTCTCTCAAAATAGTGCGCCGTTTGGAACAGTGGACTTGCATTTTAAATCAGAAATACCTGAGGCTTTTAAAAATTACATTTATTGGGGTGTGTGTGTGTGTGTCAAAGTGCATGAGTCCATATTCTCCTTCCACTAGCTGCGCCCCAGGGACTGAACTCATCAAACTCAGTCATCAGGCCTGTTGGCAAGTGCCTTTGTTCAATGAGTCATTGAACTTAAATTCTAGTTCTACTTGTAGCTAAGTGACCTCACTGAGCAAAACCTTCCTCGTGTGTCAACTGGAGAAAAAGATCTTGACCTTATGAGCAAGTATTAGTTACCTTTGTCATTAGAAGTGTTCCCCAGGGAGCAGAGAAGTCATGGAGGAGGGACAGACAAGGATCTCTTACATGGTAGAGACACGGAAGCATGGAATGGAAGGCACAACAGTCTCGTTTTTACAGGTGACCAATGCAAACTGCCAAGGCTCAGCAGCTACTTCTTTTAAGAGAAGTCTGAGGTCTGTGATAGTTAATGTTCATTCTCAATGTGAAGGGCTTTATGAGTATCATGGAAACACACCTCTGGGTGTGACTATGAGGTGGTGTTTATGAGGGTGTTTGCAGAAAGGCTGGAAAGAATAGGAAAGACCCACCCTGAATGTGGGCAGCACAGTCCTATGGGCTAGGGTCCCAGACTGAAGAAAAGAGGGAAAGTTAACCGAGAATCAGCATTTCCTTCTCCCCACGTACCTGCTGTGCCTTCCCCACCACGAAGGACTGCATCCCCTCCTACTGTGGCCAAAATCAATCATCCATTCCTGAGGCTTCTTATCAGGTATCTGGTCACAGTACTTCCAGACTCCTGCAGAATGTTTGCTTCTCCTATTTTCTTTAATGTTTATTTTTCCTTTTCATAAAAAACCTGCTTATTAGAGTATATCTGCTAGTAAAGTGGGAAGAAAGAACGGAGCCACCTCAGTAACAAGGTGCTGGCTAAGAGTAAGGTAAGGCTAGGCATGCAGGTGCACCTTTAGTGCCAGCACTCACAAAGAAAGAGCCAGGAGATCTCTATGAGTTTGAGGCCAGCCTGGTCTATATAGTTCAAGGCCAGCCAAGGCTACACAGTAAGACCCTGCCTCAAAAACAAACAAACAAAAAAAAAAACAAAAAACAACAACAACAACCACCAACAACAAAAGAATGTTTGAAAAAAAAAAAAAACCTGGGCATTGGTGGTGCATCCCAGTTTGGGATGCAGAGGCAGGGGATCTCTGTGAGCTTGAGGCCAGCCTGGTCTACAGCGTTCCAGGACAGCACAGAGCTACACAGAGATACCCTGTCTCGAAAAAGAAGAAAAGAAGTTTAAGGTGAGACTTTCGATATTTTCTTACCTTGACGGCATAGTTATTGAGTGGATCTTTTGCATATGAGGCAGTGTAGTAGACCGCATCTCCAGCTTCGCAGCACGGTTTGTCGCTGGTTAGCCTGAAATCTGACCAGCTGTCCACTCCAAAGCGGAGTTGGTCTTTCTGCCCAGCCATGAAGAGGTCTTCGCATTTAACAGCCAATTTCTTCAAGGCATCTGTATGAAGGCTTCGGATTTTACCCACCACTTCCTCCCGATTTTCAAGTCCTCGATAAAGTGCTTGTCTCTGTGGCTTCTGGATGCTTCGACCCTGTCTACAGGAGAGACCACGTCGGCTGGAGAGGGACTCCATACTGTTGGAAAATCTGTCCTTAATACTGAGAGTGGCTAAGCTGGAGATACTGTTTGCTGCTGAAGGAACAGGTCTCTCTTTGTGCAAAGGTCTCTCCAAGGAGTCGTAAGACTCAATGTCCAGTCCTTTGAGTTCACAGCTAATAGACGACCCAGCACTGCTGGCATCCCAGTTGGGGTCAATATCGTAGGTGGGATTAGCCATGACACAAAGGCTACTTTCCATGGTCTTCTGAAGGTCTTTGGAAATCGGCTCTGTATTGGCTCGTATCATTTTCTTTGGCAGTGGGGGTGGCGTGGGTTGAGAAGCATTCAATACTTCCTGGTCTGTCTTCTCTCCAAAGGCAATGGCATCGTCCGAAGCTCCCTTGGGATGCCGTGGATGCTTGGGAGGTATCATAGCTGCTCTAGACTGCCCTGTGTTATTTTTAAAGAAAGAAGAAAAGAGAATTAATCAAAAATTTCAATCTCATTTCATAATTGAAGCAAGTAGAAATGAGTGAAGTAGGCATGGGGAATCTTATGCTTTCCCTGAAAACGTGCAGCCAAGGAATGAACACTGAATGAATAAGATTCCAAAGCTTGACTGGAGCAACAAATATGAATTCTGTCTCAGCATTTCTCTGCCAGAGGAACGTGACACTAGTTTAGGTGGTGGGCTTTGTTTTCACAAAGGACTGCAGATTTTCCAGTCCTGTTCCCAGTGATGCTAACACTCACGATGCCACAGCACCAAGAAAGGACAGACACTAGAAACATCTGAATTGTGACAGTAGAGATGATAGCATTTGTGGATCAAAGGAAATACTTGGGAGCATTATTGAATCGAAACTAGCAATTGGGACCACTGTACAGAGCCTGACAAAATATTGTTCTGTTTCTTGTAAGAGCATTCTGGTTTTACATTTTATATAACACCTGCCATTACATATATGTACATATAATGTATCCAATGTTTATGTTTAGAGGGCAAAGCATATGAGGGTTCAGTAATACTTTGTTTCTTACATAATGGAAAGAAGACACTATTTTTCTAAAAACAGAAATATATAATGAAATTTCTACAAAAGTTACAAAAATTAGTCATGTTATTCAAAAAATGAGGCCTTTACTCAAGAGAAAGAGGGAGAGCACAATGCCTGGTTTTGGGCTGCATTATGCTGCAGTCCTAACCCTTGGTATCTTTGAATAGGTCCTCATTTGGAAATGGTCTTCCCATTTCCAATGGTTGAGGTTAAGGAGGACCCTAATCAAATATGGTCGGTATTCTAATAAGAAGAAAATACAATATGAAGACAAATAAGGGGGATACTATGTGGTTACAGGGGCAGAGACAGAAATGATTTAACTATAAACCAGGAATGCCAAAGATGGATGGCCATCGTTAAACATTAGGCAGAAGCAAGAACAGATTCTACCTAGTGTCTCAGAAGAAGCATGGTTCTGTGGTCAGAAGTTTCAGTTTGAGTAACTAGATTCCACAACTTTCAAATAATTAGTTTCTGTTGTATTAAGCAACCCATTTAAGGCACGTTATTACAGTAGTCTTAGGAAATCAAGACATTTTGCTACTTATAATGATAGAGAGTATAGGTAAACGAATTGTGTGAAGCTAATACTATCCACCCAGTCTGATCTAGAATCACCTAGGAGACCTCTGAATATGTCTGTAGATTTCTGTGATAGGCTAATTGGAGTGGGAGGAGCCACTCCAAATGTGGGCAGCACCAGACTTTGGGCTGTGATTCCGAACTGAATAAAATAAGAGTGAGCTAAACACCAGCATTCATCTCTGCTTCCTGACATCAGATGCAAAGCTGCCTCGGATTTCTACTGCCATGACCCCCACCCCTATGACAGACTGTCCCTTAAGCTGTGAGCCAGAACAAACCCTCCCTCCATGATCTGCTTTTGTCATAGTAATGAGGAAAGTCACAAATACAGATGCTTCTGAGATGCTAATAAGTGGTGGTTTGTTTTGTTAAAACCACATGCTTGAAGAAATACCAAGGACAAGACTCAATATAAACTGTGATTACAATTATATTCTATGTCTTACATATAGTACCTTGATCAAGAATACCTAGGAGTTTAAATATACTACGAACTACCACGTATATACAGCAAACCGAAGGATCTCCTTTCTCCACTAACAGCACACAGCAGTATTTTTATAAGGAAGAAAGTTGCATTAAACACAAACAAAAATATACAGAGAGAATGTACGCAAGAGTGGGATTCAGATAGGGAGGTAGAGAAAGAGGGGAAAGGGAGGAAAAGGAAGAAGGGCAGTGAAGAATAAACAAAGACTATATAGCTCTAGGGAGCAAAGGTTTTTAAGACTCTCCAGCTGGGATTTGGCTTAGTGCAGTGCTTGCCTGAAATGTACAAGCCCTTACTTATGACCGTTATTAGCATACAACTAACTAACTGCTAGCTAGCTAGCTAAATAACTAATTAAATTCTCCTGAAGAAAAACTCAGGGCTAAATGGATTCACTAATGAATTCTACCAAATGCTTAATATTAATTAAACCAAAGTATTACTACCAATCTCTTCCAAAAAGTAGCAGGGAAGAGGGAACACTTTCTACCTTGAATTTTGTAGAAGCAATGTTACCTACACAACCAAATCAAAGACATCCAAGAAAACTAAAGATTACTATTACTTATGAATAAGGTGAAAATAGTAAGGCATTAGCAATAGAACCTGGCAACACTACACTTTAAACATTATAAACATTATAATGGCATAGAATTTTGAGTTTATTCAAGAATGCAAGGTTGGTTTTTAACATCTGAAAATTAATCTGTATATTATGCTAACAAAATACAAAAGAAAAAACAATCTCACATGATCTTCTCAAATTTGTAGAAAATGTATCTGGTAAAATCTAATGCCTTTCCATGACAACATCCAACAAATTTGGGACAGAAGGGAACATTCTCAGCCTGACAGCTTCTTTCAAACCAAGAGCTAACATCATACTTGATGATAAGAGACTAGATGCTCCCCTCCTAACGTCAGGAATACAAGGCTTCTATCATCACCATCTTTATTCTGTCTTCTACTTGAGCACCACCCATGGAAATCTAGAAACAGTAACAAATAAAAGCATCCTGATTGGAAAGAAATAAAACTATTCTATGTATAGATGATATAATCTTGTATTTTGAGAAGCCCAAGGAATCACATGAATATCTACCAGAAGTAATATGCCAGGGCTCAGATGGTACAGTGCTTGCCTAGCATGCAAGGTGCCTTCGGTTCAATTCCTAGCACGTCACAGAACTGAATGTCGTGGGATATACTTGTAATTTCAGTACTTGAGACATGAAGTCAGGGGGCACAAGAAGTCAAAGCCATCCTCAGCTACCCAGTAAGTTTGAGGCCAGTGTGAACTACATGAGAACTTGCTGTAAACAAACAAAAGAAAAGAATACATCAGTTTAGTGAGTCTACAAGATACAAGATTACTGTACAAAAATCAATTGCAATGACTACTCTAAAATTGATATTAAGAAAATAACCCTATTTGCAACAAAGAGACTAAAGTATTAAGGGAGAAATTTAATTAAGCAAGAGTTGTATGCTGAAAACTATAAAACAGCACTGAAAGAAATTAAAAAGTACCAGCATAAATGGAAATTAGTTATGTTATTAAAAATCAGTCACATTATTAAAATGACTAATTTTATGCAGCCTATTTAAGCTCATGGATCAGAGACTTTAATATTTCTAAGATGGAAATACTTCCCAAATTGACCTACAGATTGAATGCAATCCCTATGAAAATCTCAGTTGGATTTCTTGCAGAATTGATGTGGGGACCCCAAAATTCAGATGAAAACATAAGTGGCTTAGGAGTAGTCAAAAATAGTCTTAGCTCATTACAAAATTATAGTAATCAAGACAGTGTAGTACCTAGTATAAGAGCAAAGATATAGAAAAATGGAATTGGTTTGAGGGGCCAGAAAGAAACCTTTATATTAATGGGTCAATTAATACCAACAAAGGTTGTCCAAACAATTCAATGGAGGAAAATACAAACAGGGTTGTGACAAGTGAATACACATATGCAAAAATTAAGGTTGGACCCCTGTTTCACACTATAAACAAAGATAAACTAAAATGTATAAAAAGATCTAAATGTAAGAGTTAAAACTATAAAACTCTATATTATTCTTTGCTGGGAATCAAACGTGGGGTCTCAAGCATGCTCTAACCCTGAGCTATATCCTTATTCCAGAAATATGACAAATTTGACAATAGAAATAAATGGTTGTGTTCTTGGGCAATGGTTAGTTCTAACACCTAATATAAAACAAGATAACAAAAACAGTGTGGTAAAAGAGAAAATTTAAAAAAAAAAACTTATTTGCTTCAAAGTACATCTTCGAGAAAGTAAAAAGAAAAAGCCAAGCATGGTGACACATGCCTGTAAACCTGGTACTCTGGAGGCTGAGGATAGATTGTTACATAGCAAGACCTTGGATAGACACCCAAGGAAGAGGAGGGAGAAAGGGCAGAAGAAAGAGAGAGATCAGAAGGAGATCAGAAGGAAGAAGGGAGGGAGGAGAGAAATACAGAGTAGGGGAACATGTGTCCAAACTACATATCTGGGAAGAAACCTGCATCTAGAATATATAAAAAACTCTTTTAAGAATATTGAAAAATGGGCAAGGGATTCACAAATTTATACAAAGATGATATACAAATGCCCAATACACACATGAAAAATGTCTAACATCAATACTCATTAGATAATTATATAATAAAACCCTAATACTTCACAACTACTAGGATTGTTATAATAAAAACGACAGTAATAAAATTCACAGGTAAGCCGTGGTGGGATGTGGAGAAATTTGGATGATCATACGTTGCTGGTAGGCATCTAAGAGAGAATAGCTACTTTGGAGAACAGCCTGGGAGTTTCTCAAAGAGTAAAACAGAGTCTTCACATGCCAGCACATGAGCTCCTACAGAGATAGCCACTGAAAATAAACATGTCAACACAGAGACCAGAACATGTGCTTATGCTGTATTATCCCTGACAGCCCCAAAGTGGAAACAACGCAAATGTCTACCACCTACTGAATGGGCAAATAAGATGTGGTATGGCCACAAAATTGAAAGAAGCTTCCCACTTCTCCCATATTGGGTTATTTGTACCTCTCTCTAGTGTTGGAACACAAACCCAGGGTCTCATAGATGCTAAGATACTCTGCTGCTCAGACATTAAGGGCATCATTGAATAAATGGGACCTCCTGAGACTGAGAAGCTTCTGTAAAGCAAAGGATACTGTCACTAAGACAAAAAGGCAACCCACTGACTGGGAGAAGATCTTCACCAACCCCGCAACTGACAAAGGTCTGATCTCCAAAATATATAAAGAACTCAAGAAACTAGACCG